AAGCCTGTAGCAGGCAGCCTGCGCCCACCCCCTCACCGCCCCCACTGGCTCTGCTCTAGCCATGCTGCCTGTGGGAGAGGGGGAGCAGGAGCTGGGCTCTGCTTAGGCTGCAACAGGTACTGCCTTCCATAGGTGGCAACCAGGGCTCGGGCACTGCTGTGGGGGGTAGGGGGCTGTGGACCTGGGTCCCTGGCCCAGTAGCCCTGGCAGCTGGGGGCCCATTCCATCAGGGCTATGGGTGAGGGGTGAGGGTCACCAGTGGGGCTGCTGGGGTCTATGGGGGGGAGTGAGGGCCACCAGCAAGGACCAGCAGGCTGTTGGAGGGGAGCAAGGGGCACCAGCAGGGTCTGGGTGGGGAGTGAGTGACCTGGACCTGCACCCTGGTGAGTGAAGGGGGCAGAGGGAGCTCTCATTTTCCATAATAAACCCAAAACCAAGAACCAAAATTTATAGGTACTTAGAATTAATTTTACTATAGTGATTGAGGCACTGGTAGGCTTCCTATAACAATACAATGTTGTATTCAGTTGAGATTTTATATAGTAGCATTTCATTTTAATAATGGATTTCAGGGTTCTTATCAGAGAATTTGCAGTTTTTTTTATCAAAGAAAACCAGTATCCCTGTTAATAGCCCAAAAATATAGCTTCTCAAATGCATAAATTTATACCTAGACAAAATATAGAAACCAAACGTTTCTGTGTTTTATCTTTTTTTCATATACATTATGGATGACTACTTGACCCTATTAAAATCCATGGAGCTAAATTTCATCCAGTACCTGTAAAATAGTGATTACCAGTCTATCTTTAATCCCTAAAATTATATTTTGGCGAATAATCCTTTACAACAATGTGATGTACTAGGTAAAGTAGCTAGGCTTTTTCTTCCACTTTTGAGGATTCTTTGGAAAAAGTATCCTTAACAATAACAGTCTACATACGTTAATTGTAGTAAAACTAGCCACACTTCTAGTGCTAACCATTTAATTTTTTAATGATATGCCAACTTTGTAGTCTGTCTGGTTTAAATAATCTCTTGCATTGATAGTTCCCAAATTTAGTTTTGAGGCAGTAGCCAACTCATTGAGGGACAAAATAAATGTTTTTCCTCAAACGCCCTGGGAAAAGAATTGATAAAGAAGTAAACTAGTAGCAATTGTACTTGTATAAACAGAAGTATTTTCTGCAATTATGTTACATTTGTGTGCATGAGTAGAAATTCCTGTAAACCTTCCACCAACGTGAGTCCCCAAAAATTGTTAACTTTTTGTTTTACCTCTCTGTTTCATGTTACCCTATTCCTGCCTCTCAACTACAAAATGTCCTTACACTTGATTACAGTTTTAGTAATATAAATGCTTTTGATAAAATGCTGTTCAGCGCAGTGGGGGCCAACTCTTTTGGCAGGCATGTCACAGATTAGCCCTGAACACCACTCTGATCCTCTTCCCTTGCCTGATTTGTTTCTCTGAGTTCTACTTCTTGCCCCATGTTTCCCACTCGGTCTGCTCCTCTCCTTTATGCTGCCTTGTACTCCCTCTCCCATCTGATACTCTGCTTCCTGCCGTATCTGCTGCTGTGATGTTTGTCCCCTCCCTGATCTGCCCCAGGCAGAGGCTGTCTATGCCAAAAGTTAGCAACCCCTGTTTCAGCGGTTGCTATAACAGTTACCTTTTTGTTTCTTCTTTTTTTTATTTTTTAATGTGCAAGTACAGTTCACAGGACTGTACTGAAAAAAACAAGAATGGCCAAATCCTGAAAATAAGGGCCTAAGTAAATGCAGTTTGTCTCTGCTTCGTGTCAGTGTTAAATGTGAATGGAATATACCATATGGCTGTTTCATGTAGAAATTGTACTATGTGTATTCACTGCCTTTTGAGTTTGGGAGACATACACCTGCCCTTGTACTTCTTATGAGATATCGTATTCATTTATGAGAAGTTTCACAGCTGAGTGAAATTGTTAGTTATATTAATATGGAGAAGTGAATGAATGTTGCGTATTGACAATAAGGAGTGGTCTATATTATACAGACCAATGATTTTCTGTTTTAGACTGAGACACTTCTTTTCTTTTCCCTAGAAGAGGGCTTGGTTCACTTCACTGGGAAAGTGGACGTGAATTTCAGTGCTTAATGCTAAGTGAAAGCTCTAATCTGAATGTTTCATTGTTATGCTAGTCTAGGATTCCTAATCGTTCCATTTCTTTTTTTTATCTCCTTCAGTGAAGTTGCCTTTGGTTACCAGGGTTTGAAGATCCTTTTGTACTACATAGCTGGTAACCTGTCAACGCTCTTCCGCATCAAGTACACATCTAAAGTTAATGAAAAGTTTGACTGTGTGGAGGTAAAGTTGGAGTTAAATGAACACTTTTTAAATATCTTGGGATTAGTTAATTCTTTAAGACAACCAAGGATCTTAGTTTAATGGTTCACATTTGCATTGATAGTTTTATTGTTGCTAAATTTAAAAAGGCTCTAACTCTATGGAGATTGTTTTTTGATAATCTTTTGGTGGTATTTGAGTCAAATTTTATATAAATTATTCCCAGGCATTTTAATATTGAAGCCAATGCTTAGAAAACAAAGCAAATGTGACTGCACAAAAGATGTTGTGGTAGTGGTGACAGTTTTCAATTTTAATTCTTTTATATTTGGACACAGGTACCTGGCCCATATCCCTTTTAAATAGAAGATGCACAGATCAACTGATAGTTTCATAGTTTCTAGGGTCAGAAGGGACCTGAGCAGATCATCTAGTCCGACCCCCTGCCATGGCAGGAAAGAGTACTGGGGTCAAACGACCCCAGTAAGGTCGTCATCCAGCCTCCTCTTAAAAACCCCCAGGGTGGGAGCCTGCACCACCTCACTTGGAAGCTGGTTCCAGACCCTAGCCGCCCTGACCGTGAAGTAG